TGACGCTGGGATGCTGGTTTATGCTGGTCCATGCTGGACCTTTGCCGGTTTAAGCTGGTCTATGCTGGTCCATGCTGGACCTTTGCCGGTTTAAGCTGGTCTATGCTGGTCCATGCTGGACCTTTGCCGGTTTAAGCTGGTCTATGCTGGTCCATGCTGGACCTTTGCCGGTTTAAGCTGGTCTATGCTGGTCCATGCTGGACCTTTGCCGGTTTAAGCTGGTCTATGCTGGTCCATGCTGGACCTTTGCCGGTTTAAGCTGGTCTATGCTGGTCCATGCTGGACCTTTGCCGGTTTAAGCTGGTCTATGCTGGTCCATGCTGGACCTTTGCCGGTTTAAGCTGGTCTATGCTGGTCCATGCTGGACCTTTGCCGGTTTAAGCTGGTCTATGCTGGTCCATGCTGGACCTTTGCCGGTTTAAGCTGGTCTATGCTGGTCCATGCTGGACCTTTGCCGGTTTAAGCTGGTCTATGCTGGTCCATGCTGGACCTTTGCCGGTTTAAGCTGGTCTATGCTGGTCCATGCTGGACCTTTGCCGGTTTAAGCTGGTCTATGCTGGTCCATGCTGGACCTTTGCCGGTTTAAGCTGGTCTATGCTGGTCCATGCTGGACCTTTGCCGGTTTAAGCTGGTCTATGCTGGTCCATGCTGGACCTTTGCCGGTTTAAGCTGGTCTATGCTGGTCCATGCTGGACCTTTGCCGGTTTAAGCTGGTCTATGCTGGTCCATGCTGGACCTTTGCCGGTTTAAGCTGGTCTATGCTGGTCCATGCTGGACCTTTGCCGGTTTAAGCTGGTCTATGCTGGTCCATGCTGGACCTTTGCCGGTTTAAGCTGGTCTATGCTGGTCCATGCTGGACCTTTGCCGGTTTAAGCTGGTCTATGCTGGTCCATGCTGGACCTTTGCCGGTTTAAGCTGGTCTATGCTGGTCCATGCTGGACCTTTGCCGGTTTAAGCTGGTCTATGCTGGTCCATGCTGGACCTTTGCCGGTTTAAGCTGGTCTATGCTGGTCCATGCTGGACCTTTGCCGGTTTAAGCTGGTCTATGCTGGTCCATGCTGGACCTTTGCCGGTTTAAGCTGGTCTATGCTGGTCCATGCTGGACCTTTGCCGGTTTAAGCTGGTCTATGCTGGTCCATGCTGGACCTTTGCCGGTTTAAGCTGGTCTATGCTGGTCCATGCTGGACCTTTGCCGGTTTAAGCTGGTCTATGCTGGTCCATGCTGGACCTTTGCCGGTTTAAGCTGGTCTATGCTGGTCCATGCTGGACCTTTGCCGGTTTAAGCTGGTCTATGCTGGTCCATGCTGGACCTTTGCCGGTTTAAGCTGGTCTATGCTGGTCCATGCTGGACCTTTGCCGGTTTAAGCTGGTCTATGCTGGTCCATGCTGGACCTTTGCCGGTTTAAGCTGGTCTATGCTGGTCCATGCTGGACCTTTGCCGGTTTAAGCTGGTCTATGCTGGTCCATGCTGGACCTTTGCCGGTTTAAGCTGGTCTATGCTGGTCCATGCTGGACCTTTGCCGGTTTAAGCTGGTCTATGCTGGTCCATGCTGGACCTTTGCCGGTTTAAGCTGGTCTATGCTGGTCCATGCTGGACCTTTGCCGGTTTAAGCTGGTCTATGCTGGTCCATGCTGGACCTTTGCCGGTTTAAGCTGGTCTATGCTGGTCCATGCTGGACCTTTGCCGGTTTAAGCTGGTCTATGCTGGTCCATGCTGGACCTTTGCCGGTTTAAGCTGGTCTATGCTGGTCCATGCTGGACCTTTGCCGGTTTAAGCTGGTCTATGCTGGTCCATGCTGGACCTTTGCCGGTTTAAGCTGGTCTATGCTGGTCCATGCTGGACCTTTGCCGGTTTAAGCTGGTCTATGCTGGTCCATGCTGGACCTTTGCCGGTTTAAGCTGGTCTATGCTGGTCCATGCTGGACCTTTGCCGGTTTAAGCTGGTCTATGCTGGTCCATGCTGGACCTTTGCCGGTTTAAGCTGGTCTATGCTGGTCCATGCTGGACCTTTGCCGGTTTAAGCTGGTCTATGCTGGTCCATGCTGGACCTTTGCCGGTTTAAGCTGGTCTATGCTGGTCCATGCTGGACCTTTGCCGGTTTAAGCTGGTCTATGCTGGTCCATGCTGGACCTTTGCCGGTTTAAGCTGGTCTATGCTGGTCCATGCTGGACCTTTGCCGGTTTAAGCTGGTCTATGCTGGTCCATGCTGGACCTTTGCCGGTTTAAGCTGGTCTATGCTGGTCCATGCTGGACCTTTGCCGGTTTAAGCTGGTCTATGCTGGTCCATGCTGGACCTTTGCCGGTTTAAGCTGGTCTATGCTGGTCCATGCTGGACCTTTGCCGGTTTAAGCTGGTCTATGCTGGTCCATGCTGGACCTTTGCCGGTTTAAGCTGGTCTATGCTGGTCCATGCTGGACCTTTGCCGGTTTAAGCTGGTCTATGCTGGTCCATGCTGGACCTTTGCCGGTTTAAGCTGGTCTATGCTGGTCCATGCTGGACCTTTGCCGGTTTAAGCTGGTCTATGCTGGTCCATGCTGGACCTTTGCCGGTTTAAGCTGGTCTATGCTGGTCCATGCTGGACCTTTGCCGGTTTAAGCTGGTCTATGCTGGTCCATGCTGGACCTTTGCCGGTTTAAGCTGGTCTATGCTGGTCCATGCTGGACCTTTGCCGGTTTAAGCTGGTCTATGCTGGTCCATGCTGGACCTTTGCCGGTTTAAGCTGGTCTATGCTGGTCCATGCTGGACCTTTGCCGGTTTAAGCTGGTCTATGCTGGTCCATGCTGGACCTTTGCCGGTTTAAGCTGGTCTATGCTGGTCCATGCTGGACCTTTGCCGGTTTAAGCTGGTCTATGCTGGTCCATGCTGGACCTTTGCCGGTTTAAGCTGGTCTATGCTGGTCCATGCTGGACCTTTGCCGGTTTAAGCTGGTCTATGCTGGTCCATGCTGGACCTTTGCCGGTTTAAGCTGGTCTATGCTGGTCCATGCTGGACCTTTGCCGGTTTAAGCTGGTCTATGCTGGTCCATGCTGGACCTTTGCCGGTTTAAGCTGGTCTATGCTGGTCCATGCTGGACCTTTGCCGGTTTAAGCTGGTCTATGCTGGTCCATGCTGGACCTTTGCCGGTTTAAGCTGGTCTATGCTGGTCCATGCTGGACCTTTGCCGGTTTAAGCTGGTCTATGCTGGTCCATGCTGGACCTTTGCCGGTTTAAGCTGGTCTATGCTGGTCCATGCTGGACCTTTGCCGGTTTAAGCTGGTCTATGCTGGTCCATGCTGGACCTTTGCCGGTTTAAGCTGGTCTATGCTGGTCCATGCTGGACCTTTGCCGGTTTAAGCTGGTCTATGCTGGTCCATGCTGGTCCTTTGCTGGTTTATGCTGGTCCTTTGCCGGTTTAAGCTGGTCCTTTTGCTGGTTTATGCTGGTCCTTAAAGCAGCATCCCAGTGTCAAAACATACCTAACCAGCATATGCTGGTTTTTTTAACAGGGGAGGATGAACAATAAGCAATTACTTTTATAGTAATAAATACTGTTTAGGTGCACTGTGTTAATTATTAGTGTGATATTTACTTGTAGTGTAAAAAACACACCGCATAACGCCCTGTAAGTTAAAATGTTTGATATTTAACACTCCGCACTGTAAAGTTACTTGCATAAGCAGAAATAAAGACAATAATTAAAAGTAAAATCATCAGTAAATGGCAAGATAAATGGGACAAGGGAAGACATCTTTATAACATCCAGAAAGAAGTGGGAAGGATGAGGATGACAGGGCGAAGTACCAAGGAGGAAAATATAATATCAAGGTTAAGACTGGGTCACACAAGACTAAATAAGACATTACATCTAATTGGAAAACATCCCACAGGTCTGTGTGAGTATTATCAGGAGGAGGATTCAGTAGAACATGTTCTATGTCCAAAATATATTACAGAAAGAGAAATATTCAGAAGGACACCACAGGAGATACTAGATGCAAAGCAAATATTCGGTCAAACAGGAAATTATAATTCTTTAATTGTATTCTTGAGGGAAACTGGGTTAATAAATAGAATATAAAGTTCTGGTCCACACTCCAGTATAGTAGGTGGCGGTAATGCACCTTAACGGTGGATGCCACCCGTCATAAAACATGAAGAAGAAGAAGAAGAAGAAGTTACTGTTACTTGCATGGCTTTTATTTTGAAACACCGCCCGCGTGTTTTTTTTCTGTGTTCAGTGAAGGCTCAGTGTCGCGTGTGGTTACAGGTAAGAGCTTTATAAATAACATCGACTTGTTTTATGCGTAACAATGATTTTAATAAGTGTTTAAAGAGCTGTCTTCGATGGCGTCTCATTGATTTTTTCAGTCAGCGACACTAAATGTGCTTTTATTACACGCAGTCACTAACGCACGTGGAAAAAGCTGGACTCTACTTGTTATAATCTCGTATGTTTTATACTTATTATTAGTTTGATATGCTTCGAGTGATATATAATGCTACAGCGTTAACATAATCTGGGTTAGGGTGTCTTTAATCATCTGTTATGTATGCCCACATATAGTCAAGTATCATAATTTACATTTCCAGGCCTAAAAAAGTCAAGTTAATAAAATCGTAAAATATCATGGAGAAGTCGTGGATTTTTTTAGTTTTTCAGCTATGCTCAGTTATGAAATATAGTTTGAAGTTGGTCTTTGTGAGTGCATGTTTTTAATTAAAAAACCCACAAACTAAATTCATTGGTAGGAACTCTTGATTTATATGAAATAATTTTGAATAATATATCATTATGTTTTCAGTGTGTTCATACGATGGCTGATGATGGTCCAGCAGAGGATAATCCCACTGAAATTGAGGAAAACCTGAATGATTTTGATTCCTCTTTGAGCTCTGTCCAGAATATGGTCCAAACGCTCGTGTCCGTATCCAGAAGTCACAATCTGCTGAAAGTATGTGAAAGCAAATGCACAAATGAGCAGTTATATGAACATTATCACATATGAATGGCTTATTTTTTCAAATCTTTTTGTACCTGATTTAAGCTGGATCCTCTTGATCGAGCTAAATTGGATCTGATGTCTGCATATGCCCTCAACTCAATGTTCTGGAGTAAGATTTACACCTTCATGGTTTGCTTTCACGTAGGGGTGTGCGATATTGACACAAAAGAATATCTCGATATTTTCTGGGACTTTATCGATGACGATATTGTGCTGGTACCTTAAGGACTGCCGAAGACTCCTAATGTTTTTAATACTCTTCATATTCTGTGTGCTGGTCAGTTCATACTGATAGAAATGAA